CATTTTATGCGATATTTGTTTGAGACGTGCAGCAGCCGAAGGGGTAAGTCAAACAAAAATTAACAAAATTATTAAATGTTTCTGATGATGGGATCGATTTTTTGTATAGGTTGTCGACGTTTTTTCGGAAATGCAATCGATCATAAATGAAAGAGCCAATATTGTATACGATAAGCAACAATATTTATTCGTTCATTTAGTTTTAATAGATTGTTTACCATCTTTATGTTAAGAAAAGTGGATAATTGGTTAAAGGCAAAGTAACTTGAGAAGATTTATAATAATGAGTAGTTTTATTATCATCACTGTATGAAAGGCTTTTATAACTAAGTATACGTGTGGCGACTTCTCTGCCGTTACATCTTGAACTGAGCGTACGCTACAGAACAACGAGCCAATTTAGCTCACACACACATACACACATACTATCACTTACTATGTATGCGTGCCTATACACTATATCCTTAATATTCAAATACAATGTAACTGTAACTCTATTTCCAACACGCCTCTTTACATTTACTGTAGTGGGCTTAAATTCCTTAATTAGGAGTCCTCTGGCAATTTCGTATATGCTATGATGTGGAGAATAAAGGGTTAGGTTTAGGTGTAAAATAAAACACGTGGTTGAGCCAATAAAAGATGCGAAGCTTTATTGGCTCGTCAGGGAAAAGCCTTGCGGCATAAAAACTCTGGATGATATTGGTAAAATACAATGATGAAAATTTACCACGTGGCGTCGCCACGTGGGAAACTACATTTTGCGAGAAAACTATATAATGGAATGATCTTACCTCTCGCACTCCTCACGTATAGCGATCACAACCTTAACCCTTTCGCTACTACGAGCGACTATAGTCGCTCTCCATGTGATGCCACTCAGGTACTACGGGCGACTATAGTTGCTTTCCATGTGATGCCGCTGAGATACTACGAGCGGCTATAGTCGCTCCCGCTAAAGATGTCGCGTAATTGTATACATGATAAGCGCCTGCAGTTGCTATGCACAGAGTATCTCACTCTAGACATGCCACGTGAGTCTTTCGTTTTGCATCATTTGTTTTTTACGTGCTTCAATAATAAACCAAATGCCTCGATCATCAGTCTTACGACACCGGCTCGAACGTTGCGTGCACCGTGCACTGTTTCGGTGTAGAGCGCCGTACTGCGGGAGTACCGCGGCGGAGATCCGCCCCGTAGCGAAAGGGTTAAGGGTTGTGGGGCTGAATAGGCTTACATTCACAAATCGGAAAGATTGGGATGTTCCCTTTGTTGTTCCTTATGAATCCTTAAGTCCTTTTGTCCAGTATGGCTTCTATATTCTTTAGATGCCGAAGGTGTATCGTCGTAGGCGTCCGGTGGTGGAATAGAAAGAATGGTCTTTTGAACTGACCCAGCAGGGCGCATGTATGGTGGGGGTGCGAGAAGTAGTGATGCGAGAGGTGTGGTTAGTGCTTCGGTACCGGTAGTCGCTTGTGGTTGTTCGATACTCATAATGAATATCGAGTTAGAATCTTATATTAATCGATATAATCGAACGCGCGCGATTTGAATACAGCTAGTTACCGTACGATCATTTCGGATCGTACATTTACATTGTAATTTTTAATTTTAAGCATTCACATTGCTTAAGTTCAATACTTTCATTATTCATACTCATACAATATTTACCAGAAATCTAAATTTAACAAACATTTCTTTACCAAGTGCTTTCATGAATATATCAGCAATATTTTCATTTGTGAATGAAAGTTCAATCAATCCTCCTTCTACGCTTTCATGTACATAATAATAATAATGTATTTCAACATGTTTTGAATTTTTAGTGAAATTTCCGTAATTTGCTACATTTATCGCTCCAGAATTATCTTCATATACTTTTATCGCATCACATACTTTAATACTAAAGAATTTTACTAATTCATTTACAATCTTTAATTCACTTACAACATCAGAAAGAGCTAAATACTCTGCAAACGTCGATGCTTTTGTTACACATTTTTGTTTTTTAGTTTTCCAATCAATTACATTTTCAAATAATCTAATTACATAACCAGAAGTAGACTTCCTATCTACAGTATCACCTGCCCAATCTGCATCAACAAAGAAATCTAAAAGATTACAATTCTTTTTTCTTTTAAAATTATGACAAATCTTTGGTCCGATATAAGTACTTTAGAACTCTTAATGCATACTTTCAGTGAGTATTATTATAATTACTCTGAAATCTACTCAAATAATTAACACTATAACTTATATCTGGCCTTGTATTAGAACTAATATAAGACAGTTCTCCTATCAAGTTTCTATACTTAATATTTGTTTCACTACTATCAGACTTCTCAAGTTTTAAATTCTTTTCCATACGAGTATCATAAAGTTTACTTTCTTCTAATTTATATTTACCTATTAAAGATTCAATATATTTTGCCTGACTTAGTTTCATATCACCTTTCTGATAATCATACTCAATTTTAATTCCCAGATACTCTTTAATTTCACCTAGATCTTTCATTTTAAACTTTTCTGATAACATATCTTTTACTTTTTCAATCATTTTCTTATTTTTACAGCAAATTAATAAATCATCAACATAGATTAGAATATACATAATTTTTTCTCCTTCTCCATGAGAATAAAGACAAGGATCAACTCTACTTCTTTTAAAGTTTAATTTTTGTATCAAAACTTTATCAAGACAATCATACCAAGCTCTTGGGCTTTCCTTTAAATCATACAATGCTTTTATCAATTTACAAACTTTATCCGTTCCATCTTCACAACCTTTAGGTTGACGTACATATACCTCTGAGCTTACAAGTCCATTTAAAAAAGCAGTTGTTACATTCATTTGCTGTATAGGCAAACCATATTGACAACAAAATGAAAACAATATTTTTACAGTTTGAGTTTTTGCTACAGGTGAATTTGTATCCTCAATTTCATCTATTTATTGATATCCTAAAACAACCAATCTTGCTTTAAACATTCCATCTGTCTTTCTAGTAAACACCCACTTTACATCAAGTACCTTTTTATCACTTTCTTTTTCAACTAAAGTCCATGTATTATTTTCTTTTAGACTAGCTATTTCTTTGTCCATTGTTTTAACCCAATCTTTACTATCGTTACTACTAATCGCCTCTTCAAATGTACAAGGCGTATTTATACTACAAAAATTTACATAAATTGAATAGGTGACTGGATTTCCGTACCTATCTATAGGACTTTTCTTTCTTTCTGATTTTCTTTGTACTAGTAATTCTTCACTTTTTACTTTATCATCAACAGACGCATTATCTCTACATGACTCGAGAGTAGGATGTAGGAGATAAGTTATTTAAAATCTTCTCATCATGTTCATCATCAAAAACATCATCGTTTAAGTCATCGTCTAAACTCGCAAAGCTTTTATAATAATCATAATCAAGACCTATGCATTTTACATCTTTTTCTATAATATCAACGTGTCTTGCAACTACAATTTTATTGTTTAACAAAACTCTGTATCCAACATCATTATAACCTAACAAAATTCCCATTTCAGCCTTTTTATCAAATTTTGAGTTTCTACTTTGTTCAGGTTTTCTTACAAACACTTTACTGCCATATACTCTTAAATTTTTAACATCTGGTTTTCTTTTAAAAAAGATCTCATAAGGAGTTTTTCTTTCAATTGTATTAGTTAATGAACGATTTTTTAAATAAACCGCTGTTTTTATAATTTCAGTCCAAAATTTCTTATGTACTTCAGCTTCATCTAGCAAACAACGAGCCATATTCATTACAGTTCTATTAAACCTTTAGGCTGTGCTATTTAATTCGTGCACATATGTAGGACAATTATTTAAAACTATTCCTTTCTTTCTAGTATATTCAAAAATCCTTTTATTCAAATACTCTTTACCATTGTCACATCTTAAATACTTAACTCTCTTTTCAATTATATTTTCTACTTCATTAATGTAATCTACTAAACAACCAAAAACTTCATCCTTACCTTTAATGCAATAGACTTTCGCTATCTTACTATAATCATCAATAAATGTGACAAAGTATTTTCACCATTAGGACCATCAGTACTAAAACTACCACAAACATCTGTATGAATAATCTCAAGAATCTCTTTTGCTCTATATTTATTATTACTAAATGGTAAATTGTGCATTTTATTTTCAATACACGTCCTACATTTCATGTATTCTGATTTAAATTCAGAAGGTAGACCAATTAATGATTGGTTTTTACACATTGTGTTTAAACATCCCAAATTTACATGCCCTAATCTTCTATGCCATTTTTCTTTTAGACTTATTTGACGATTTTTACTTTCAGCATTATTAACAAAATTTTTATTTTTCAAAAAACCTTTTAATCTAATTGTTCTATTTTCTTTATAACCTACTACTATAATTTTTATTATACTACTAAAACTTTACCAACTTCTTTACCATGCAACGATTCATTGCCAACAAAAATCAAAGATTTGAAGAAAGATTTAGAAATACAATTTCGAAGGTAAATAACATTTTACATTTTTGTTTATGTGTATATAATA